GGTTAAACCCAGAAAACTTTGTGATTAAGCACATGGAAATAAAACCAAAGATTTTATGATCTCTCACTGAGCATGGTATGTGGGTGTGTGAGCTACCTGGAGGACTGGTGAGGGCAGGTGGAACACGAGAAGGACAAAAGGGTAAAAAAACCACCATGCTGCAAAGCTCAAGGAACAGGCTGACATTCTTTGCGAACTGACCTGAGTTGGAATGGGAATCATTGGCCAACATCTCTGTGGGGTCCTGTGGCCGGTTTCTCTTTGCTGCCTCTTTTTTTCCCTCTCATCCCTGCTCTCCAAATCCAGGATAGCTCCTGTTCTTCACCTGGTCCCTGTTTCACATCTCTTCCTCGCATCCCAACACTTATTTTCGGCTGACTCAACCTCACCTCAACATTCTGACCCAAATTAATCTTTTGTGTAATTCAACTGACTGAAATTGACGTAAATGAAGTTACATCAGAGCTGAAATTAGCCCAGTGTGACTAAAATAGCACCTGCCTTGTCTACCAAACCATTGCCTGTTCCTTCTCCACCTCCACCCGCATACCATGGTGTTAGTATTTCTTTCTTTCTCTTCCCCGTTCTCATTTTTCTGCCAAGAACAGGCTGTGCTATTGGTGGTCCTCTTCAACATCTGCTTTTGTTTCACCTCCACCTCAGAAGCTGTCAGGCTGTGTTAGAAGAGGTGCCTTGTCTGTGTCCTAGTCTTCTTCCAAGACCAATTGTTTTCCACCTTCCATTAGATTTTGCTGTCTTTCATGTTACAGATTAGCCTGGTTGCAGTGAGCGCCTTCACGTGCCTGTCGTGCTGTCAGTCTTACTCCAAAAAAAATACAAGTCAATGAGCTGAGACTTGCAAAGGCAGCATAGCAGGATGTTGGCAGAGCTATGGATGTTAAACATCAAGCTTCCCTTTCTCTTCTATGATTACATTTCTGCCAACATAGCATTTCTTATCCTCTCTTACAGGCCTTATCTTTGGGCCCTTAACCTCATGCATGTTTTAACTTTCTCCTTCATTGTCTTTCTCATACGCTCTGATTTCTCTCAGCTTCCTCTTGCAAGGGGAGGCTTTCTCCTTTCCTCTTGGAAAAACCCTGGCTGCTTCTCTCTGGCTGATCCACGTTTTGTTTGGCAGTGTGCTCCGCCATTCCCAACTGGGTATCTCTCTGGGGCAAAGATTTATTCCATAACTGCACTAGCTTATTTATTACCATGGCATACACATTTGCAGTGTTACACAAACTGTAAAGGCTTCTAGTTCTAAAGGTCACCATTGGCATACCTTGTATTTACTTTCCCAACACAGCTGAGCTCAGAACAAAAGGGACCGGCAAGCCATTGAGAAGATGAAGGCAGGGAATCATCCTGATCTAACTAATTTACTAGGTCAGCATTCATAGTGCTGCAAACAAACAACCCAATGCAAACTCAGCCTGCTCCAGACAACTTAATTAATTCCTCTGCACTGCTGTGGATTCCCATGACAGTATATGGCTGCATATATACTGAAGCCTAGAGGGCATTTTTGTGCTGAACACCCAGAGCAGGAGCTATTTACCATTCTCAGTGTCAGGCTGGCCCAGTCTCATACGGGTACTTGCGTACAGCCCTTCTCATTCCTCTGCAGGTGTCAGAGCTGCTTCTAGTCTGGCACACTGAGTGTCAGCTGAAGCTTCCTGGGTGTGATGGACACAGGCTGTGACACTGCTCTGTCCTGATAGATAAGGCCAAAAGCTCCCAAGAGCTTTTCTGCAACTAATGCTCTTGGATAGCAAGAGCATCTGTGCCACCCGGCTACCAAGGCCACCAGCACATCCCTCCTATTGCCTGCCACAGCATTACCCCAAGCATTGGCAAGAGTGATACTTGAGCTGTAATTTGCCATTCACGTTGCTCTGCAGTGTTGAAAGAGGATCACAGGGCTTACATGAGAGGATTAAATGACTCCACTACATCCCATATGCAACTTGCAGGAAGAGAATAAATTAAATGTTTGTGAAAAATGCAAAACGCTAAGCCATTAGTTGCAGCCCTTCCCAAGATCATCCGCTGTCTAATTGCATTTCCTGCCTTACTGTGGTCAATTTTCAGCATGGTGGGGGGGAAAAATCCAATCAGTGCTTCCTCTACTAATTGGCATCCTCAACACAGTGGATGTACAGCCATGAAGGCTGGGCTCTGTCATCCTGCCTGTCAGAGCAGAAATATTCCAAGAGGGGCTGGGATCTGCCACAGGCTGTGTGCTTCCCCAGGGACACAGCCGCCTCTCCAGCAGAAGGAAATAAAGACAGAAAGATGGGGAAGGAGAAGGTGTGGGGGTCTGAAAAGCAGAAACATGTTACTGAGCCAGCCTTGCTGGAAAAGTAAAAGGAAAAATGTCCATAGTCATTCTCGAGGTGAGATTTGTGAAAGATGCCACAAAAGGATGACAGGGCAAATATGAAAGAGCAGTTGAGGGAGATAGGTTAAACAAATGAATAAAGATCTGTGGATTCTCCATCCTCAGAAGAAAAGAGAGAAAAAAACACCACAGGCAAGCTCAGAGCTGTGGTTTATTTCTGCTACAGCTCCTTCTCTACCTCCCCTCCTCCTATGAGTTTCGCATGAGTGCCAATATGGTTACATTCTGCAGCCTCAAAGCAGGGTGTGACTTGGGGCAATCTGTCTGAGAACTGCTCCTTTGAAGAAAGGAATCTTAAATGTGATGACCAAAGTGTTGAGATATGAACAATGAGAATAGTTCATGAATCTGGATTCAATCAGAATCCATTTGATTATTTTTAAACCTGTAAGCCTGAAAGCAATAAGCTTTCTTAAGAAAGATGCCGCTTATTTTAAAATGAGCAGTGAGTTTTGATTAATTGAGTTGCAAAAGAAATGGATCTAAAAACAGTCACTGGAGGAACATAAGTGCATTAAGTGCATTTGGGTTTTGCTCTGGGAAGAATTCAAAACCAGATTCTTCTGTTGCTGCTGATCTGAAAAGACTGAAATTAGTGTGACTTCACTTGCACTCACGCAAGTCATAGCCCCGCCATGACTTTGCTGGATGGAAACACTGAGGAGTGAACAGGAGGGAAGCATCCTGTGGATCTGCTGGCGCTTCTGGAGACTTTTAAGTTAAATAAGCATCAGAGGCCAACATGTTCTGACTACAAAAGGACAACTTCCAAACACACATCTTGATACCTACCTTTTAATGAATAAGAAATCTGTTCATTTTGCCAACATCTCTGAGCCCACACTTCAGCCTTCTGCATCTCCTTTTGGAGTGGTCCGTTTTTTCTTTCCTGTGCTGCTCCCTTCATGCTGTTTTGCTTTTATTGTGAGGATCAATTTGCTTCCTACTTGTTTATTATTGTAGTTTAAGGATCACACATTTATTTCAAAGTATTCTCGTAATGATTAGCTGTCTAACAAATAAGCTAATTGACAAGCCTAACAGTTTTATTCTTTCCTTCTCCTTACACAAAGCAGGATTTTTTTTTGTTTGGTTTGCTTTATCTTGCTCTTTAAGCTTCCAGGATGACACTGTGGACTCCTGGGCCTCATCTCAGCTACCTATATATTATGCTGCGCTATCCTCTACTGACTGTACAGATTTTTACTGAATTTGTTCATTCTTAGACAAATTATTTCTCTCTCGCATTCCTTCCAGTGACTCTCTTATCCACCATACTGTACCCGAACATCTCCTTGCTATCAGCATGTAACTCCATCTAGCCAGTATCTTCTACCCCACTGAATCAGAGAATATCCCAAGCTGACCTGCAAGGACCACCAAGACCAACTCCTGGCTCTACACAGGACCACTCCGAATCCATCTGAGAGTACTGTCCAGACACTTCTCAAACTCTTGGGGCTATGACAATGGCTGTGGGGAGCCTGTTCCGTGCCCAACCACTCTCTGGTACAGAACCGTTTCCTAACACCCTACCTGGTCCCCCCCGACAGCTCTACGCCATTCCCTCAGGTCCTGTTATTTGTGTTCCATTGTCTATAAAGTACACTGTGCTGTGAGAGTTGCATCATTATAGCTGCATTAAGCATCCTGTTCAGACACTGTGCCATTTATTTTCCACTATTTTCTTTCTTGAGATCTTCTCTTCAGAGCTTAACTCATCTGTGAAGGGACTTTACAGATATCTGGCTCTTCCATCTCCTCCTCTTCTGCTTTGTCTTTGCAGAAGCCAAAGCAAATGTAAGAGACACTGCTGTTTTTTTTTTTTTTTCTGGTTGGTTGGTTGTGGGGAGTTTTAAGCTCTTCTTTGTAGCATTTCTGTGAAACACAGCAATATTATCTTCATTTTACAGACAGGGATCTGAGGCACAACAGATGACCTGGCCGAAGCCCCTCTGTAGCTCAGCTGTGTTCTGAACTGAAACAAGGTATTGGGGTATAGGCTTTTGCTTCTTTAGCAGTTGAAAGATGAAGCAAGAGGCCTGGGCCAGCGTGATTTCTTATAGGAAACTGCCTCTAAGTGTCGCCTGGTAAATAGGAGCAGCCAGGGAAAACAGCTACAGGCCTTTCTGTGTGCTCAGTCAGCAAATACCTCGCTTCAAGAAATGAGCCCGCAAACACAGTTGCTCCTTTCTGCTCTCTTCAGAGGACTCTATACCTATTTACTTTCACATGGAAACAACAGCTGAAAGACTGAGTGGGAGGCCAGAAGCACTTGACTCAGTTGCGGCAGTTCTCCAATTCAGCAGCTACGTTTTTCTCCCTGAGGCAGTGTAATATGACAGAAAGGAAGCATCTGAAAGCATTTCTTCATCGTTTAGATTGCAGCCCTGTCACTGCTGCAGAGGTGACACACCTACCCTCCACTGCCTGCAGCTCTCCAGCTCGCTGGAGGGAGAACAGTGAAGGCAAATGCTTTTTCCTATTCACCCTGAAATCACCTTGTTTCAGAGTTTTTAGCTCTGCCAGCACTAGGATGTGACTAACACACCCATTCTTGGCCCAGGTTGGCAGCCCTTGCAAATGGAATTTCAGGCCTGGGACAGGCTTAGCGTGGCTGGCTGTGTGTGTAACGTCCTTCCCACAAACTCCTGGATGCTGCCTGCAAGATAACAGATCAGGAAGATGCAATCTGCACCAAGCCTTTGCAACTCTTGCTTTGGTGCCAGCCAGCACAGGTAAGGAGTGGTGTTTTAGCACAACCTATTTACTTACTATTCCTTTTTGAGACTGCAAAGTCATGTATCCCACATCCGTTGAACTAGCCTCTTCTATTTGCAAAACTCATTTTTAACCAGTTGCCACTTTTAATGAAAAAGCTAAAAGGCAGTAGGGTTAACTAGGCATATTTTGGTAAATCATGTTGTTTTGTTTTGAAGGATCCCCTCTAACCCAAGCCATTCTATGATTCTGCACTCCCCTTCAGAAAACTCATAGAATTATTTTTTCTTTTTAATATTGGCCCATGTTTTTACTCCTATTTTGCACGTCAATGTTGACTGCTCTTGGGAGAAAGAAGTAAAGAGGGGGTGAGGGGAAAGGCATTGAGTTTTATTCCCTAAGAACTGAGTACCCAAAGTTGTATAACAACAGCCTGTAGCATTTTGTCACAAGCAAAACACTGCTGGGAGGTTTATCGACGACTATCTCATGAGATGGGCTATTTAAGGACTGAAATTACACAGGAAGGATGGGTAAGAGAGATGTATGGACGAGCACAGTTACAATTAATGCTAAATATAAGGTGTCATATCTTTATCTAAAGCACAACCTGCATTTTCTTGCAAAGGAAAGCAAAGCAATTAGGCCCAAGTAAGCAGAATATGCGTGGGAGGTGTTTGAAGGCAGTAGATTTAGAGCACTGTAATGGGGTTGGAGAGGGTTACAGTGAGAGGTAATATTTCCTGATAGGTTAGTTTACTTCCTTTGGAAAACGTTTTGGAACTCAACCAGAAAAGTCAGGTAGATCTTAACCGGGACTTGGCTGGGACAACACCCAAGCAGAGGTCAAAAGATAGACCCAACTCTGCCCAATCATAGGCACCCCCTTCAGTAAGTAATTCCCAGGAAAAAATAATAATAATGATTATAATTAAAGTTCTAATATCTAATCAAAGGTCTGCTTGGATTCGCAGCAGCCTCAGCTGAATCCTAAAGCAGGCTTCCCCTTTTTCCCTTTTCTTGAGCCAATGCTAAGGTCAGAGTGGAAAACCTGAGCTGAAACAGTAATGAATCTCATCTAGAGTGGAAACTGGAATTCACTTGTCAGCCCCAGCCAGGCACAGTTCCCCCTCCCTGTTTGCTATGTTTAGTCTCCAGTCCTGAAGGGCTGGGTTGTCTCTGGGACAGCGAGGGCAGTTTGTTTCCATGGTTCTTTTTGCCTGTCTTTTAGGTGAGGCTGTCAGCCAGAGGGTCAGGGTATATCAAAAGAGATTGAATCATCAGATTTTTTAAAACCTCATATGGAAAATACTCGTGTTTGGAATGTTTACTGGAAGAGCAGGTGGCGAGGGGGGACAACGACACCATGCGTGCATAGGAAAAGTGTCTCTCTCAGCTTTTGCACAGCTCCATGCCCCTATTTCTCATATCAACATAGAGACAACACTTTGTCTTGTAGAGTGAGAGATGGGGGCTAAACATGTCATCACAGCAAGCTGATAATCTCTGTTGCTTTCACTTGGATGTGGGAAACATTCACTTGCTTTTAACATAAAACTAAGCACGCATTTGTGAACCCACTGTTGCTTTCATGTGGCAGCCTTAGCTGAACAGAAAATCTTACATTGTGCAGCTACAATTGAATAGAGCATCCCGGATTAAAGAGATTTTACTTAGCTCCACATGAAATTGCAGAGCTGATGGCAGCCTCTGGTGCAGAAGGAAAAAGTAGTTTAGTGAGTACTGACACTAACAAAGCAGAATCTCCTGTGTATTTGTATATTGTGGTTGATTGACTGGGGTGTCTAACATGGCATAAACTTCATTTGAAGCTTTTCATACAGTTCAGGAACTTATTAGTGTTCCAACTTTTATGGAATCTTTGAAGTCTAATAAGGCGTGAACCCTTAATGCAACTTTCCCTGTCAAGGGACTGTGATAGGGTTTATTTTTGCTATCAGGCTCTTTATTTTCACAAAACCTGTAGGGGTATAATTATGCCTCTGCCACCTTTATTTGAAATCAGCCAGTGGGTTCAGAAGTTAATAGAGATGGACAGACAAGCAGACAAATAGAGACGCCACTGCCACATAAGCCCTGTTTCCACGATAATCAATCTAAAGGAGCATATATTGAAATTGTATTTTTTAAGAGATTTGAAAGGCACAGGAGTAGGTTCCACAAAGTGCATTTTCAAATTTTAAGTGAATTTCATGACAGGAAAAGCTATCGATGACAGTCTGGAATGCTAAAACTCTCCCTTCCATTTTAAGGGAGAAAATCAGGGAAGAGCTACAGTGCTTCACCTCCTCCATGGATTTTTTTATAACAAACTGAGCACAGGTGATCATTTACAGGGAGGAGACAAAGAGCAGATCCTCCAGCTCTATTCCTTCAGTTTGTGCATTTTGTGTATGTGAGCAATTAGGGCTAATCACATATGAAAAGCCCTGCAAATGCTTCTGAATGTTTGTATATCACCACTGCCTTGCCTTTATACCCATTTCCTTGCACATCTCTGTCTGTGCTGTCCTTGGGCTACAATGGGGAAAGAAGTGCTTTTTATCCTTTGTGTATGCACTGCAAACCTCAATGGGGCCTGCATCTTGATTAGGGCCCCTAGCAACTATCACATACCACGCAAAATTAATCATTTAACATAACAGCCCCCAGTCTTTCAGCTGGGACACGTGTAGGGCTATTTATTCACACTCCCAGCCAGAGTCTTGGAGATGCGCAGTTTTATTCTCAGCTCTGACACCAGCCTGCTGGGCAGCCTTGGGCAAATCGCTCTGTCATCCTACTGCTTGTAAACACGGCATCCACCTCCTGCTTTTTGGGCTTTCTGGGAGTCACTGAGCTGCTCTTTTGGTGGGTTGGGAGGGGGCTGGCTAGCAGCCAGCAGGGCCCAATGGCCACTGTCATGGTCTGCCTGCATTGCCTCATTCCTGATGAATGCAGTCACCTTCAAAAAGAAAAGGAAAAAAAAAGAAAAAAAAAAAACCCTTTTAAATAGATTTTTGAATTCACACTCCTGCATACTATAGGACAAGAGGGGATGGCTTTAAACTAAAAGGGAGGAGATTTAGGTTAGATGTTAGGGGAAAATGCTCTACTCAGAATGCAGCAAGGCACTGGCACAGCTGTGCAGAGAGCTGTGGGTGCCCCACCCCTAGAGGCAGTCAAGGGTAGGTTGGATGGGGCCCTGGGCAGCCTGAGCTGGTGGGTGGCAGCCCTGCCCACAGCACGGGGTGGGACTGGGTGGGCTGTGAGGTCCCCTAAACCTAACCTAAGCTATACAATGATTCTCCTGCAAGCCACACTCAAGCCTGGCTCTCCCCAGGCACAGCAGTCAGGGACAGCCAGCCTGCCATGCTGCGGGAGCACCACCCCCGTCCCCCAATGGTCAGAGCTGCAGGCAGGCAGGCCTGGGAGGGGGCCAGAATGAAGGGGATAGCCATATTCCCATTGAACCAGAGAAGCGTGAGGGGCCGGCACGGGGTGGTGCGGCTGCTCCACCTGTCGGGGCGGGCTCGGGCAGGCCAGGTGAGGCGGTGCCGGCCCTGCCTTTCCCTCCTTCCACAGCCTCCCGGCACTGCGGATGCCGGCAGCATGGCGGACTCCCAGGTGTTCCTGCTGGACGAGTCGCACGTCAACGAGAAGGTGACAGAGGCGCAGGCCTGCTTCTATTATAGTGAGGAGCAACGTCGAGCCCTGGAGACGCTGGTGACCCGAGGTGAGGCCGCATACAGGGAGACCCTGCGAAAGGAGCATCTCCAAGACTTCCTCTCCAGCCAGGAGCTGCAGGCCCTGCGGGGCAGCTGGCGGGCATATGAAGACCCGCGGGAGAGTGCCAAGGTGATGCGGGGCCCCGGCGGCAAGGCCGTCTCGCTGGCCTACTGGCCTGAGCTCTCAGACACGGAGGTCCCGCCGCTGGACCTGGGCTGGACCGACAAGACCTTCTACCGGGGCATCAGCCGTGTGGCCCTCTTCACGCACCCTCGCAAGGAGGAGAACGTGCCCCACCTGAAGGAGGTGGTGAGAGAGATGATCCAACAGGCACAGAAGGTAAGGAGCGGCCTCTGTGCATTTGTGCCTGGGCTGTGTCCACGTGTAGGTCACCCAGGCAGAAGGGCCGGGCTGGGGACACGCAGGGTGGCAGGAGCCCATCACCACACCAGCCATTCTTCGCTCTCCTGGTTGCCACCAGGCTGGGTTTTCCATGCAGTTCATCACCCATCACACTGCAGTTTGCCAAAGCTGACGTCTGGAATGGGTTCACCCCCAGACCCCCATTACGATTTTGCGGCCATGGTTTGTTTTTTTCCTGCCCAATTGCAGTGTATTATCCAGAGGGCAGGCAGGACATGGTGCTGCTCCAGCTGCCTCTCCTGTACGTGCAGGTAACCCCAGTTAAACACAGGGCAGCTGGTTTGTTTTGGATTGTTTTCTGTGTTTGCAATCCAGTACAGCCCTGACTGCGAGGCAGCCAGAGTCCAGACAATATGAGTCTGTTCCTCCTGTTTATCTTGGACTGGAAAAGACTGTTAGTGGTGACAGTGCACCTCTGGCAAGAAAACAAGCCAGCCGTGATGCTCCAAGAGTTTGCATGAAAGAGTTAGGGGGCAGTGACAAGGTTTTTCTAGGTCTGGGTGAAATCTCCAAGAAAGACTGTCTGTGAAATTACCCCTTTTGTAGCTGGTATCTCCCCTCTGGAGAGGAGACAGCAGCATAAGCCGCCTCACTCCTTCTTTGAGTTTTGCTGCTTTCTGTTTTTTCTGCTTTCTGATTCAGCACTCTCCCCCGCCGCCACTCTTCAAGCGCACCCTCTGCATGCACAGCCTTTGCAGAGGCTTGTTTAAAGCAAATCTGCTGGGAAACACAGAAAATTTTCCAGAGAGACGTTTAACCAGAGGGTGTTCTCCACTCCCTGCTTGCAGCACTACATGCACACCCTGTTATCCTATTCCACTGCTGGCACAATCAGTCACACAGAAGAACCAGAAGCTATAAAAAAATGCTTATGCTCTGACTTGCATCCTCTTGCTTTGCTGCAAATGCCTCTACAAATTGTATGGTAACTGGGAAACTTTGCTCTTTTCAATACCTGTGCCTGGAACACAGGTAATTAATTTCTTTGTAGATATATTTTTCACTGGCCGGATGAGCTGTCCCCCTCCCAGCCCAAAGGTGGTTTTAGGTTTAACAGCCATTTTAGTGTTTAATGGTCTTTTTCTTAAGTAAGTACCTATTGTTTTCCATCAAGCCTGACTTGGAGAATAAAATCTCCAGGTAGGAGCTTTTCATTCAACAGATTAGAGTGGGGGTTTTGTTTGTTTGTTTTGGTGTTTAGCTTTGTTTTGGTTTTTGGGAGGGAGTGGCCCTAAAGAGATAGTAGTAATATTTGGCACATGTCTAGGGGTGGCTTATCATTAGTGTTTTACTTACATTAATTGAGCTATCTTGCCGCAATGATTTTGGCAAGGTAATGCTTGTCAATCTGTAAATACCCATGAAGAGCAAGGCATACCTATAGATCCTATAGGTAAGTAGCACTATTATCCAGAGAGGGGAATGGAGAAAAGAAAAACTCCTACATGGGGTAGGTGCTCATGCTCTGACTTGCTGTGTTTGAGAACGCTCCTAGGTTATCTTGACAGATCATCTGTAGTGTCAGGGGTTTGGAAAGACTAACATCAACAGCGCAGTTGCCCCTTTCACATTTTGAGACTTGAAAGAACCATCTGTAAGGCAGTTCATCAGCTTTTTCTATGGACTTAGTTTCCATATTTGTGGGTTAAGTCCATAGTCTTGCAAACAAGCCTGAACTAACCTAGAGCTGCCAAGCCAGCAGGCAACTGTCCCTTCATATTACAATGCCAGTACTAATAATCAGTGGTCTGTCCAGGGTGTGCTTCAGTTTTTACAGTCGTTGGTCATCTTGTGGATGGCGGGGATGGAAAGGAAATACATTCCTACTTCTTTTGTCTATTTTTCATCAATTCTCTATGCTAATGTTCTTATTTTAAATGAATTTTATTTGGTGTTCTTGCTGCTGAGTAATGACGTCCAGACCAGTGTGTGTGAAAGGTTAAGAAAGCACAGCATGCCTCAATTAATACCTGAAAACTTAAGTCATAATGTGCCTGCATGTGAAGTTGTTGAAGAGTGAAGTGATGGAATTTCAATGTATTTTTCAGAATTCCTTGCCTCTTGCTGCATTTAGTTAGAAAGTAAGGACCAAGGTGGGAGCTGAAATCCAGTTCTTCTAACCTAAGAGAAGTTGTTGAAGGACTTAAAATTAGCTTGTATTGTACCTCCTCCATAGTTCACCTGTATCAGGAATGTACATGTTAATGATGGACATAAACACAATGTCAGCTCTTTTTTTCTTTTTCTAATAAGGAACAGCTTGTGTAAGCACTGCTGACAGAAGGAGCGTGACAGAGCAGAGCTGTTGGTTATTGTTGGCCATACAGAGAGACTCAACAAAAACAGAGGACATTTACTGTGCTATCACTTTCCCACATCCATTTTGCTCAAGGGCATTTTCAAAGGAAAGAAGTGCCTGGTGAGAATTATCCCCCCTTCCACAGGGAGCTACTGCAACTGGAGCTGCACCTTTTCCAAACATCACCTGAAGAAAATTCTACTGTTAGGTGTAGTCTTCAGCTCCATTCACACATTATATGTGCTGTCTGCAGCACAGCTCAGCTCGTTGCTGTGACCCTGGCACCTGGGAAGCTAGAATTTAGGCAACTCTACTCCCAGCCTACCATCAGCGTGAGAGCTCTGACCTGCCAAGCTGGTGGTTCCTAGGGATGGGGAGAACTGCAGTTTCCTTCATGCATAGCTTTCAGGATGCTGTGAAGCATAACTCCTTCAGGAGAAAAAGTGAATTGATTCTTCTAATAGTGTTAAAGACACAGAAGGGGAGAGGAAGACAAAACATGTAAGGTCAGCATAAAAGTTGCCCACAGTCATCTTGTTTTTGTTGTTACTCATCCTATGAATGTTCGGGCTTGTCTGTCATGTTAGTGCAACCTTTTGCTTTCTTGCTTTTATACAAAAAGATCTGTGTCTGGAAAGAGGAATTAGTTTCATACCAGGAAAAAACGTACATGTGAAGAGAGCAAATGATCATTTTGCCTCCAAATCTTGAATGTGTGCTCCAGTCTCTTTCTTACAATTATGAGATGTTTGTGTTTGAGCTGTACATGACATTCCTCATGAAGCCAGCCCTGAGAGCAGAGTTCTTTTTGTCTGCTTTGTGCACTATAGCTGAGGACTCATGCTCTGATTCCTCTGCACGTTCATTCTTCCATTACTCACCTTCTGAGAAGTGTTATGGCTGAGTTTTTCACTTTTCTTTTTTAGACTTTTATCAGTGTTTCTCTTTGTTTAAGTGCATCCTAATGGAGGCAAAGAGAGTTTCACAACACTGGATTAAAAATGGGTATTTCACTTTGGCATTTTTCAGGCTGCTGAAATAGCCATCTTCCCTTAGAGGAAGACCCCTCAAAGACAGTTAGTTATTGCATTCTTTTTAAAATGCAGCAGGAGCCGTGCCAGAAAATTGCAAGGTTATTGGAAATGCTTGGGCACATACATCCCTGTACTCCTGTCTCACCTGTGTACTCTTCCATATTCTGGTATCAGTGCTCTCCTTTATTTTGTACCATTAAAATGGGCTTTCCTCTCAGTTCCTAATATTTTATTTAGTTGCTTGTCTGCTGTCTTCCTGTTTCTAGATTATTGCAGTGGTCATGGATGTATTTACAGACCAGGATATCTTCCGAGATATTGTTAATGCAGCATACAAACGCTGGATCCCAGTCTATATAATCCTAGATGAGGATGGTGTGAAGCTCTTCCTGGAAATGTGCAGATGCCTTGAACTCAGTGACTTGCAGATTCGGGTAAGATATTCAAGACTGAATCATCATTTTTTTGCAGTTAAGTGGCCTTCCTGAGTTGTAACAAACCTTGTAACTCATTTGGAGAGATCATTTGCCTTTCACCTGAAACAGAGATCTGTGTAGTTTTTTGGCTTTTGTGGCCTGTGTATTTCTTTTAGGAAGAAATTTGCTTGAGGAAATTCCTGTAGGTCTCCTATGCAAGTCCCAGATTTCTAGAGTAGTTATTTTAGTAACTGGACTCCACACAAACAATAACAGTACACATATACATATTTTGTGAAATCAAGACTTTCCTGTCTATCAGTTGTCATCTGGGACTGAACAAGTTTATATTCCTTTGCCTGAGAACATTTGGGACTGTAGGGCACAACTGCTCTCCAGTTCCATATTGGAGTACATCTTCACACAGCACATGAACCACAGCAGAGTAGGCAGCTTAGCTTGGCAGGCAGAAGCAACTTCAGTAGAATCTCTTTCCATTGCATACAAACTGAAATCCTTTTGTGTGTTTATAGCTGCTATTGTGTTGCTCACTGTTTCAGTCACTGTCACTACTGCAGATTTGTTCCAAATACTGGAAAAGTCACTAGATTGGAAACAATCTACAGGGTGCAAGACTCACCACTCTTGTGATCCAACTGCTTTGCAGAGCAGTTTTTTTTTTTTAAAAAAAAAAAGTCCCATTTTGTCTGGAGGAAGGGCAGATCTTCCACAAACACTCAATAGTGAAAAACAAACAAACAAAAAGCTCTGAAGGTAAGAGAGGCTCATATTAACCATTCAAGCAGTACCATCTTACATGTGGGTGAAAATGAATTGCATATTTCTGAACAGTGCTCCTATGAACTATCACTGCTCGTAGTTTCTGGACTTCTTCATGAGAAAAGACATCCAGCTGAGCAGCTTTCTCATCTTTCCTCTAGTGTATTTGAAAGCAAGACACAGGCATTGTTATAATAGACCTGTTTCAAGCTCCAGAGGTGTTCTGTGGTCTGGGCTCAGGTTGCTTTGTAGAAAACTGTACAAGTAGTTCCATTTGCTCTGGTACCTGCTTTCCAGTACCTTTCTCACCATGTCATTGTGTACAAGAACGACGACTTCAATATTGATGCCATCAAAAGCACTAGAAAACTCTTAAGTCTCTTCTGTGCTTCCCTTCTCTCACAGCAGCACTTGCTGTGTTTTTCTTTAGACTCATACTGAGTTGAAGGAGTTCCACCAAGGAAGAACCTTTTAACATCTTTCTTTAATTAAGTTCCTCACTCTTCTGAGAATTTTCAACCCACAGACTGTTGTCCTTTAAGTTTTTTTTTTGTTGTTGTTTTCCCAGCTGTGTCATCCTGTGTCATAAATTCCCCTCCTAGAGATATTATATTCCTTTTCCAGTTCAGCTAAGGAGGCTTTAGTTAATTTTGTTAAGGTCAGTGCAGTTTATTCCGTTCTATGGTGCTATGGAAAGACTGGGAAGAGCCTTCCTTTAAGGAAAAGCAGGTCACTTGTTTCTCAAGAATAATGGCTTCTTACCATCCTGCCCAAGTTCCCATTGCCAGTGTGACTATAAGGGTCAAGAAGATGAGCAGCAGCCTGTTGGTCGTGCTTTCCTGCAAAGCATTATTGGATGTATCAGTGCTGCTGTTTGGGTGAGAAATCATCATAATTTGACACCAGGTTTTGGATAACTAAGGAATCTCAAGCAAGATGTAATCTCTCACTTGAGGACTTACCCCACCTCACTGAGCTAATGTGTCTGGGGTTGTTTTGCATTTTTAGTGCTGGCTTTTCCACAGAAAGTTGCAGCAATGTGGGAGATAACTTTAAGGTTTAATGTCAGATTCTCATGTGAGGAAAAAAAGAGATGACACATTACTATCGGTTGGCATTGCTGCAGCTTCAGGGTGCTTATTCTGACTTCTGTCATCACCAGATGCTCAGACTGCTGTGATTCTTGTTCTTGTCCTCCATCGATCCCTTCACCCGATGCTGAGTGAACAGTTAACAGTTCCCAGTACAGGGAGACTTACTGCTAACACTGGATTTTGCCCTTTGTCTACATGTAATGCAGGGCATTTTCACAAAATTCTTGACTATTTTTTTAAGATGGCAAGGTATCACCAACCTCCCACAGTCTCACAGCAAGGAAAATGGTGTAGGAAGACTGTATTACACTCTACAAAGACTATTCACTGACTTCACATTTGAAATGAGAAAATCTCATATTTTGCATGAAGGCCAGAGTTTGTTAAAAATGCATTTAACTTCAATCATCTGTGCATCCATCTTGAGATGTTAATGTGAGCATGTCTTATTTGTATGAGTCATGTGGCTTCTTGAGCCTGCAGGACGTGGTTTGCCAGACTTTTGTTATGTTTGACATAAGGGTGTTCTTTTGAGATCAGAATGAATCAAAGTTCTCATAGATATAAAATTCATAGCCCCACAAAATGTCCTCTTGTTGACCTGAAGGTGAGGGCTGTCAGTAGTTTTTAGAGGTGTTTTCTTCCCTGTGCTTCTGCTAATCAAGTCTTCAATGAAAAACAGTTTTGATTAAAGACATGGAGTTCACCTAGAGCTCTGAGGAAATGCAGAGAATGTGGTATCTGCAGGAAGTTCACTTTGATATTAATTTTTACATTCATTTTCCTAACATGCAAAGATTTCTTTTCCTCTCTCTAGGTAGTCTTAAAGGCTTCTGCCTAAAAGATTTTTTTCAATTTTGTTTCAGATTTTCTTGTCTTACCTTCCAGATTTCCTCATTCAATTCTAACTCAACGGAGAAGCTGAACGTGATGTGTTGCAGTGCTGTTTTGTTTTAATTATCTGTTAGAAAATTTTACTAGACTGCTCGTGACCTTTCAAAAACAGTAATTTACAGGTGTCTCTTTTCAGAAAGACACAAAAAAACCCTCAGTCAGTATAAGGGACTTTTGAGCTACTGTCACGTAACATCTACTGCTATGGTCTGTTGCCTGTCCTTTATCTGATTTAAATCTTTCTTGCCATTCATCCCAAAGGAAACACAGATTTCTGCTTCCTTTGCAACATTTATATCAATTGCTAGAAGTTCTAAGAGCAAAGGGACATAGAGGATTCCCTGGTGAAAATACTTGCAGCACCCACCTTTAGAGTCCATCCCACGTACCTCATGATATCCAACCCCGTGCTTGTGGGCACTCCTGCTTGGATCTGCTAGTGGTCAACTACGTGTCAGTAAGAGTGTACTACTGACTTTCTCAGTTGAGTCTAATTTAACTTTGTGTGGATGCAGCACAAGGTTTAAAAATGTGTCACAATAAATCAAGAAAGACTGATTCCTTTACTGTGTGAATTAATTAGGCTGGTGTGTTACCAGTCTGTATTAAGTTGCTGCCAGAGAGTTGTTAGTCACTGCTTGCAATGAGGAGTGGTGTAAGTCTGTGTAAAGGAAATGTGGAAACCTAACAAAGACTGCTGCCTACATGAGGCGGGATATAACCAAACTTAAGCAAGTAGCTGCAAGAGTACAGGTTTGTAAAGGTCTCTTCTGCCTGGAAACGAACTGATCCTTTACCCCAAATACTTGTTCATACAATAATGTTAGTGCCCAAAGAAAATAGCTGAAATCTCACCTCATTTATATTTGTCTTTCCACTTCTGTTGTGTAATCTTCAGTACGTGAATCCAGGCTTGTTCTGTCTCTGTACAGCTGATATATTAGTCTTCAAGTGCTCCAAGATCCTTCAAGTAGGAAACATTATACAAATAACCTATTAAGTGACTCGGTGTTTTATATGACTTAGTGCTTGTTTTCTGCATTTCAAGATGCATTTATACACTCCTGTGCCTACTTTATTCGAGGAGGTTTATGTGTTCAGCTGTTTGGTTCTACCCCCTTTTTCAGTGTTAAACATAGCTCAGTTACTGCAAAAATGTGAATGTGCTTTCTCTCTTTCTAAAGAAGGTGATATAACATACAAACACAATAAAATCCACACTTGTTTCATGCTAAGAAGCAGTCTGCTTACACAGGCTGGTACTACTCGATTCAGAAAGGAATAAGACATTTCAGAGCTGTCAGCTGATTTGAAGGACAGATGTCCTCATTGACACCTCCAGTCAAGATTCCATGATGTGGCAAATTCCAAATCCAGCTTTATTCAGCAAGGAAAAAAGACAATTATTTTTAGTCGACCAGCCAGTCTACAAATGTTATTCTAAATACTGGAAAGGGCAGCCTTTCTCTTGTGCTCTACCCAACCTGCATTCAGCATCCCACACAAATGACTCACTGCTAGCTAGGCCTTGGGCAAGTCACTTCATCTTTTTTGTCTCTCAGGTTTCTCATCTTTAGGGCGATAATACTGTCATTGGTGTTGGGAGGATTAATTAGCTAATGCCCACACAGGACTGCAGACAGATCAAGCAGTAGATGAATGCAAAACAGTAGTATCATCAGTTACTGTTAGTCAGAATTTGTACTGCCACCACTGTATTTTACTGAAGCAAATAGGAACCGATTCAAAAGGTAAGAGTTATATTCAGAAAACTGTTTTTTTGACAAAAATCCACATTCTTCTAATCACTCATTCCTGCATGCTGATTTCTACAGCCTATTGATATTTAAGCTGTCAATTAGGTTCACAGTAATGGTACTTAGCTCTTTGTGGGATCTGAGGCTGTGCTAGTGCTAGCCAAATCCTCATGATTCTCCTGTTCTGCAGATGGGGGAAGAATGACGCAAAGGTGAATTGGCTTTCACAGAACATAGCAGGGAATACTGCCAGAACTGTGATTACACGAGACTGTCTGACTCCTAACCCTATATTTATTACTCCAGATCACAATATCTTTTAGCTTTTCATTGTTAAAGAATTCTTAAGAGAAACAGATGGTATGAAGAAAATGGTCTAAATTTGTATGTCAGAATGACAAGATAATTTGCTCCAAACTTTGCTGGCAACGAGTGCTTTTAAGCATTGGATTTTTTATTTTTTTAAATTGTTTTTTTAATGTTAGGCAATATGTATGTACACCTGTCTGGCAATTCATCCTCGAGCAGCCAGGACCCATGGACTTCAGCATTAGTCTGGTGCAGAATAGCTCACAGTCTAACATGCAAATATGTTTTTATACTATGTGTATGCATGTCTATTGTAGAAAATCAGGTAACCTGAAATCAGGGTTTTTTTTCCTCTGTCTCTTGTACTGCTTTGTGTTGTAATTTGTAGATTCAGTGGCTAAAAGGGTGTGAGACAGGAGGTTTGAGGAGAGATAATACCTTCTTCCAACTACTTCAGTACTTTTCATGAGAAGTTTTGCCTTCCCTATCTGCAGAGATACTTTGCTGATTTGTTTGGGACACTTATCCTACATCTTTTATTCAGAATAAAATTCTGTGTTTTTCACTCTCCATTGAGCAGAGATGAATGTAGGTAGACACTGTAACTGGTGTTCTTAGCAAAATGATGTCAGGGTTCCTTTGTTGTAACAGGCAGGAAACATCTATATATGTTTTGAATGGTACAACTGTTTCCTCACCCCTTCTGTAATAATTAAATAGCCTAGTCCTATAATTTGCCCAGTTCTATCAAACTATATGTTGTTGGGATCAGAACACAAGCCTAAAATAATCTAATTTAAGCCTCATACATTCTGAGTCTTTTTGATTGCATAGGCATTGCAAAGTTCCTTGGTTTTGTGATTCTGCTAACATTGTCTGGAGAAGACCTCACTGATGCTATGGAATAGGGATTGGGATTCGGAGACTACAGATGTGACTCAGAGCTTCATTTCCCTGAACTGGGTTGGGCCTTCTGATGTACAGCACAGGACTAGAGATGGTGGATTATCTCATTTGGAAAGCATTGTCTTGTCAGTGGGCTAAGATGAATAGCTGAAGACAGCAGACGGTTACAGAGATGCTGACTTACTGGACAGGGTTATAAACTGATGCATAGGAGTAAGTTGTACTGAAAGATGACAACAACAGACTTTTCAACACTGCTTTCCTTTCTGTAGCCCTTCTGATTTCTGGTGTCTAATGATGAGCTGTAGTCCCAGAAGTTATGAGATAATGTGAGTGATGTGTTAAGACTTGGAGTTGGCAATTATCTAATTCTCTGCCCTATTTATTGTGAAATTTTGTTTTTCTTTACTTCCTGGTTAGAACATCCGCATCCGTTCTGTGACAGGAGTTGGGTTCTACATGAAAACAGGGAAGATCAGAGGTACACTGGCATCTCGATTCTTGATGGTAGATGGTGAAAAGGTGGCCACTGGATCATACAGGTGGGTTGCTCTTGCATAAGGCAGAGCTACATTCTTATATACATAATGGCGCGTGTGTCTTGTTCTCATGTCGATCATTTTTTTATCCTCCTCTTTGTAATCTGTTTGGCATCTGTAGAAATTGGAGTAAGATAAGAGAGAAGGTAGCGTAGAGCACAAACTGCTCCCAGGAGCAAATCCCTGACAGTGGATTTTTTCATTGTGCTAGAGATGGTGCTACACTGCACGGGCCACTGTACTCAGTTCTTTTCAGAGAGGTTTCCAATCTGGAGACTCTTGCAGTTGCTTTTCTAAAAGGAGGATATGCTGCTCTTCAGAGTTTTCAGGTATTTTCTTCCAGATCTTGTTTGCGTGCCTAATGAAGAACAATAATACTCAACTTCACCTATCCTGACCCATATTGGCAAATAGCACAATGCTATGTATTCTCACGGTGCTTCACATATTGTTGGGTGGGCTGGGTCAAGCATGCAAGAATCTTACAGTTCTGTTTCCTATTCTTAGCTTCACATGGAGTTCATCCCATATTGACAGAAACATCCTACTAGTCTTGACAGGACAGCATGTGGAGATGTTTGACATTGAGTTTCGTGAGCTCTACGCTATCTCAGAGGAAGTAAATTTCTGCAAGGAATTGGGTATTGCTAATCCAAACCATCATGGAATTGGGAAATCAGGCTTTCATTCCTCCACCGTGGCTCGGAAGATCATTAATCCCAAGTATGGCTTAGTGGCAGGGGCAACTCGTGGTGATATGTTGCTCTGGGCTTCACGACACAGGGAGGATAATCAGGATAATATGGAAAGGGAAGAAACAAGTGAGTCTAAGAAACGATTAAATCAGTTTCTGAATGACTTAATCACATTAGAGCAAGAACTCCCAGAGATTGAACCACCTCTGGAGAACTTCAGCAGGCAGAATCGGAGCCCTCAGAAACTGTTGTCCCGGTTCCACATGGACCTGAAAAACAAATCCAAGTCCAGAGAGTCCATTCGTGATGTGAAGAAAGAAGATGCACAGGCCAACTCAAAGCAAGGCAAGCGGTTTGCCAGTGGGATTTTTGGTCGCAAGGCCAAACGATCTCCAGGTTCAAGCATTGAAGCAAATTCTTTTGCCAGTGAAGGACACTCAGGGGAAGACCTCGGGAATATGAAACTGGAATATGAGCAGCTCAGCACAAGCCATGCCAGCGTTCGGAGCGCTGAAGGCATCTCAGGTAAAACCTCTCCTATTAGCACGTTCTGCTTCTGTGGTTTTAAGCTGCCTCTGAGTTTGGTTGATTGGTGCAGATGTATTCAACACAGGCTCCTGAGTAGATCCTGTTATTTCCTCTGTACTAAAATGAGCAGGATCAAAGAAGAGCAGAAGTTGCATCAAACTAAGCATAATTCCAAAGGCAATTTAATGGCATTCTTACTGTAATATTGCTACTTCTCATGTATATGCTTTCTGATGCTTCCCACTGAGCAGCTGTGGGATAGAAAGATGAATGTCTCCTTGTGAAAAACTGGTTGCATGTACAGTTAAGCAGCAACAATGTGCTTGGTGTTGTAGTGGTTAGTGTGCAGACAGACTTCCAGTGTAACCCCCCCAACATCATTTGGCTTTTGTCAAGTGTGTTTACAGTGCCAGGGCTTCTGGTGAGGAAGGAAACAAGTTTCTGCTGAGGTAAGAGAGCAAAAAGTGAGAAGATGGAAGTTTTTAAAACTTGCTCCCTTATCTTTGAAATGGAAAAGAGGGTCATGAAAATAGGAGCTATGGAGAAGCACTAGATCTGAACCTTCCCTTCTTTGCTAAGGAGCTGTTGATATATTCGCTGAGCTCTTCCAAGTCTTCATTTGGTTGAATAAACAAATGATAACAATTTCTCCTAATTTATGTGTTCATTGCTAACATCTCAACATTCCAGGTGCTTTGTCAGTTTGAAGTAAAACTAAGGACTAAGCCTGGTTGTCTTTCTCTCCCATTGAGGTGTGCTGGATGTCATTTCATCTTGTAATAGCAGGAAAATAAACTAGTTAAGGGAGGAACATTTCTTCCCAACTTGTCTGGCCATGCTGTGCTCTGATAAATTCAAAATGTGGGAGTAAAAACATGAATTCCCTTAAGTCTGCCATGATGTGATGTGGAAAGATATTCCCCGGAGAGCAAAAAGGAAAGCAAAGTACTAGAAAGGTTCCAGGTTTTGATTGATTGAATTCTTAGAAGTATTTCTGGCTAAATAAGGACAGACTCAAAAATGCCAAATGAATACAAGGGAGGAAAAATATAAGAAGGCATAAATTGATTATTTGAGACTATAGTAGACCCATTTTGGGATGTGTTTGGCATTTGGGGAGGCAAAAGTAAACCTTGGTCTTTACCCTCTCATCACATCACTTTATTTTATGAGCAGACAGCGTGTGCTGCTGGGCCCCATTCCTCGGGACCAGGAAAAAGAAAATTCGTAGATCTATAGGGAGATGTATGGGCATTTCTTTTCAGAGGATCGGAGCTGAGGACTTGCACTACCCTCTAGTGACAGAAATGGAGAATTGTGGAAGTTCTGATTCGTCAGCTCTTCGTAATATCAGACATTCCCCAAGTTTCTTGTTGTCGACTGCTTTAAAGCAGACAGCCCTCCATTCCCACCATATGGCAACGTGGCAAAATTAAGTACATATTAAGGCAAGAGAGAGACTGATCTCTCTAGTTGGACACTGGGGTGCTGAGCCCTTCTGGGCATTGCACAGGTCAGGGCAGCAGGGACGTCTCCTTTTTAACAGAGTGAATCTATGCCAGCTTGGTCTGGATTATTTCCATAAGGACAAAATCATGCTATTATATTCAGGTTTTATTAATTGTCACTGCAACTTCCTGAGAGCTGGCAATAAAGGAGAACGTAAAACACTGACCTTGGGAGGCCTAGGCTGGTTCCAGGCAAGCCACTTTGAAAATACAGGGAAGCAGCAGAGGTTCCATTCTCCTACCTTCCTGCTGTGTTCTTCCTGACAAGTCTTTCCAAGAAGTCAGTGCAAATGTTTCCTGCTTTGCTTTATGCTAAATGAGATTTCCTGCTCCAGTGACACTGGGAGACTCCACAGCTTTTGAAGTGTGGTGAAAGTAGGCTTAGGTCATCCCATGTAAATGGCTGAGGGAAGATCACTCTGTGTTACATTTGACTCACTATCTTGTGAAAGAAAGCTTCACTAGCCCGGTGGTTCCAAAGTGAACGGAGATGGCAGAGGGCACATTAGAGAGATGAGACTCAGGAGAAAGGAAGGAAAAATTGAGTTACCACTGAAGATACTGCAGCTACTTGATTAGCAGCATGTGCTTCATTAGGATTTAATAGCATCCTGAACATGGATATGGAATAAAGTTCCATCTTAAAGATAAAAACAGGAAACCTTTTGTTCTGAGGAAACTGTATGACCAGTAATGTTTTAAAACGTGAAGTTGTCCTTGAGCAGACCTAGTCAAAACTGATGCTGCAATACCCTGAGTGACAGAAGGGAGGAAAGAAGTGGAAATGAAGGAGGGAGATGGTGCTAGATACACAGTCAGGTTAGGATGCAATTATTCAAAGCTTCACAGTTTGAAATAGTTACCCCTACCTTTTGTGAAGATTAAACAGCACACTTAAGCCCTTTGGGCCTGCCTGTGCACACATCCTCCAAAGTCACCATTAATTCTGTGATTCTGTTGTACCACAGAGACACATCACACCTTGCAAATGCACCAAAAGACCAGATCTACACCCAAGTAGCTTGCAGAGTAAGCTCAGAGTAAGACATTATTCAAGCAGACTGAATGTCCAGTTCAGTCTTGTAAGAGCAAATGGTGTTGAAAAGAGTACAAGCTGGGGTGGGGTGAAACTATTTTCAACAGTCTCTGAAAATCTGGCAGGGTATTTACATGCTAGAAAATGATAACTACAAGTTAGAATGGATTTAGCCTGGAAAACATAAGGAAAATACAGACATTAATGTTCTGAATTACATGCTTTAATTAACTTCCTGGGGTGTTGTTCTACCACAGTGCAGGGAGATTTTGTTTTGTCTTACAAGGTTTGCTTAAACCACACCATCAAATCAACACAATTCTTGAATTTCACTATTGCCTGCTTCGAAGCACAACAACAACAGCTCTGAACCTGACCAGAATGTTGTTAATTTTATGCTGCTGCTGGGCAGGCTGTGATCAGCAAAGACACTGATGTCTGTGTGCAGTTTCTTGGAAATACTGCAAGGGTTTCAAAGCAGTGTGCCTTTGGAAGGCACTGGATTTTTGTTTTGTTTCTTCCCTGCAAGTAGCAGTCTAAGTGGGCAGAAAAAGCAGTTTAGTTATCACCAGTGCTTTTCAGCCCAAGTGGGATCATAGACTGGTGGTAACCGGACATTTTAGCTCCTGTTGTAAAGAGAGAGAGGGAAATGATGTTGGGTACACACAAGGACTGTGTTTGCTCCAACTGTACCAGGATCTGTAGAAAAGGCCAGAAGACAAGAGTAGGAAGAGTGAGAATAATAAAGGATCTGGGAGCTGAGACTGAGCTGAGAAGGAGCATTGATGCTTTTGAAGGTAAATGTGAAGGTCTTGAACATGATACAGACAAGGAGGGGAATGGGGGTGGCAAGGAGATAGGGGCAATGGTAAGATTAGTAGCAACGTGCAGAATGGGCCTAAGGGGTGCAACAGTTAGTATTAAATGCCACATGTTGTTGTGGGAAGGAGGCTGTAGCATATAGAAAAACCAAAAAAGGGAGAGCAGGCTGCAGTGCAGCCTCTCACATGGATATGCAGAAATTGCAGTGCAGAAGGGGAGAGGGAGGTCTTCTCTTTACCATCACGTACAAGTGAGGAAAATGTTGGTCAAATACCCACAAGCAAAAGAGTGACATGGATGGCTGGACAACATGAACTCAGAGATATTTTCCAACCTTAATGATTCCATGATTTTATGAAAATAATTCACTTGAAGCCCAGTTCAAGGGCAGTGCTTGTGGTTGAGACTTCTCAGTAACGTCAGGCAGTTTTCCTGTACTGATCATTGACTCCAACTGCATGAGAGATGTACCTATCCCTTCCCTCTGTAGAAATAAGTAAGTGGGGTCTGCCCTTGTTCAGAGTGGCTGCAAGCCATGCAGCTGCCCCCCTCAGTATATACAGCCTCAGAGTATATGTGATATACGTTGTGTGAGCCTAGCTGAGCCCTGAGTGCAGCAGAACTCACTTACTTGCAAGAGCTTATGCAAACATGCTTAAGTGCAGCGCTTGAAAAAAGTCTGCTGAGGCATCCGGTTCAGAATCTGGCTGCAATGAAGTGCAAGTGTTAAAAAGTACAGATATTTGGAGAAGAAGAAAATATGTAGAGTGAGCAATGGAATAAACCTTAAGAAGATAAAAATTTGGGCAGCGTTATATGCTGCTTAACTGAAGGACCCTGAGGTCTCTGGATTTCTCTTGCAAAGGAAATGGTGGAAATATCACCACTTGAGATGTTTAATACTGAACATGGGAAAAGCTCAGTGAGAATGTGTGTTGGGATCTGATGGATGAGATGACCTGACCTTTCTTTTTTGTTTTCATCCTTTACTGCTTGGAAAGCCTTCCACTCAAGTCATGGCCAGACTGCTTTACGGCACCATCTGGGATCTGAGAATTCCACTGACATTAGCCTGGGTACAGGCCAAAGCCTGGAATTACTTCTCCAGTGGCTTATAGCAAATAGTATTTGCTATTATTTTAGTATGTCTTCATTTCACAGAAAGAGGAAATAAAACCCCAAGAGAATGTGGAGTGATGTTGGTCTAACATGAGGCGTATCATAAATAACAAGTATTAAAGCTTGAGTCCAAACTTCATCTGGATCTTATTTACTTAATAGTAACATTTTTTTGTCTTCTTTTCATTCCAGGTAACCTGGGTCCAAACTCCACTGCAAGCGATAAAAGCAAACAATCTACCTGTGTGTTATCTTGATTGCATGGGAAACTGAAGACTGAACAAGCTGGCTTAGTAACATGTTTATCGATTTGTCCTTACACAGTGGTCTGTCAAGCCACTGTGTGATCCTGGATGCAGCTGGCACCCCCAGTTAAATCTTATTTACTGGGTGAAGCATAGACTTTGGATGGTCTGTCCCTTAAATGAGGGTTAACGATGAATGTATTAGTCCATACGTGTGTGTGCATATAGATTTTATACATAAAAACAACTGTGATGACTGGTCTCAGAGCTTGCTCTGTGTCCAGGTAAATGCAGATTTTCAGACTTACTTATGCTGCTACTTCAGTCTGTTTAGTTACAGACTCAGAATCACTGTGTTGCATTGTTTACTCGGCTGCATTGCAGAAATGTATTGGCCCGATCGGCTGGAAGTCAGAGTCCAATCAGTGGCAAATTCTGGGTGAAACAGTGATGTTTACAGACAGCATAGCAACGCTTTGTCCTCAAGGAGTCTTCCTGTAGATTCTTATTGTCACTTACCCACACAGAAACTAGTGGTTGGGGGAGAAGGGTTTAGCCAGAAGAGGCCAATGGATTACTATCTTAACTGTTTATTTCGTGTCGTAAATATAGTAGTCAAACAAAGCGATTTGGCAGTAATCTGTTAAAAAGAAGCACTGGAGTGTTAGGGGAGTGTTTAACCTGCAGCTGAGACTGGGTCAGAGAAATGCCTTACATGGGAGAGTGGGCAGATCTGGGAGCAGTCACACAGCTTTCAATGGCTGCTATAAAATCCTGTTTGTTGCTAAGTGAGCGGTACTTTACCCTTCATGGAAACTGTATGATTAAGGAGCACATCTCTGAGGCTGAAAAGAAGCAAAGCAGGCAGACAAGCTTTTCAAATGCTCCCTTCTTTTTCTTTTTTTTGCCTCAGGTTAACATTTCCAAGCTCTAAAAAATGCCTAAATCATGGGCTTTGATCCATAAGAGACGCTGCATGCAATCAGGCCAAAGGCCATCTAATCTGCTATCCTCTCTCTAGGGCACCAAGTAACAGGTGATCACAGAAGCATAAAAAATCAAGCTTGGGTACAAAAGTCTTTCTCTGACACTGTTCCAGCAGTCTGTGGACTTTCTGAACTGGCAGTTCCTTCTGGACCTGGCCTTAATGAATGCACTTAGTCCTTTTTTAAAAATCCTTTTATATATTTGGCCTCCACAGTGTTCTGTGGCAGTGGACCCTGAGTTCATTGTGCAGTATTAAAAAGAACAGTCTTCAGGCAATTTTAATGGTTTACTTGATGATTTCATCGGGTGACCCTAATTATTCCACTGTCAGATGTAGTAATGACCACTCCTATTCCTCATCTTCTTGCCACTTTTTACAGACCTGTATCATACATGTCCTCAGCCATCATGTTTCCAAGCTCCACGTTCACGGTATGTGAAACTATTCATTACAGGGGATGTGCTCGACACCACTGCCCTCAGGTTCGCTGGCTCTCTTCCAGTTCTGCCACTAACAAAGTGGAGAAGCAGGTTGTTTTTGTTTCCTCAGTATGCAGATTGATGTTTCACTCTGCTTTCTTGCCATCTAAATTATACACTCTCCAGTTATAAATAAGCACTCTTGTGATATCTAAGAAAAATAAATCCTAATCATAGTAGACAACTGAAAGGTAACATACTTGTTTGCCAGAAAGCTATACAGACATCTGAAGCAATGGGTTTAGTTTTTTTTTTGTGTTGAAACACTGTTGAGTTTATCTCAGTGCACAGCAATGACAACTGCTGCACTACGAGCACAGAACAAGCTGCTCTAAAGGCTCTTCCAGGTGCTGGACTGCAATGTTGATTCTTACATTAAAACAGCTGCCTGTAGTTGATGATGAAATGCAATGGATTGATTGACTGATTAACTGCCTTTCCTGGAAGTGAATTTAACTTGAACAGCAACAAGGTTTGTTTTACTCTGGTTTTAACCTGTAGAATATCTTGAGACCCTAAAATACCAAAGGTATTATGCTCTCTGTTAAATACACTTTCACTCAGTGGGTTAAATGCTTGTGACTCTATACAGTTATTCTATATAGCCTTCTGGGAACAGGCTGTAGTTTTACTGCTAGGTCTGTCAGCTCCTATTATCAGCAGTGTTTTATAAAATTGTTCCTGGTAATGGAAGAGAAGAGGTGTTGGAAATTACACCATCACTTGGACACAGAAGTAAGTTAATACATGAGATATCCTGTTGGCTGCGGGTGCAGTGTTTATGTGCCAAAAGCTATTTGCTATATATATGTATGTACTATCTGAAATGGCTTGATTTTGCCATGCTTCCATTATTCTCCAAATGATTGGAACCTTTTTTTTTTTTTTCTCTCCTGGTATTTATTTCACTTTGTTAGCAGAGATTCAAGAGAAATTTATAAAGCCAATGTGGTTCCAGTTCTTTGTTCTGATAGGAATGTTGTCACCTGGTACTTCCTTGTTCTCTCGGACTTTTAAGATATTTATTTATTTTTTAAATTGTGCAATAGGCTAATTTACTAATTAGTACTGTGTTAATATATCTGGTCAGGTTTTCCAGGAAGTCCTCTGCCTCTTTAGGCTTTTTTCTTTGTTGCTTCATCTTGGGTGGAGTAACTTAAATCACTCGAGAAGCTGATTTCACTATTTCTTCTATTCTATGCTTGCTGATTAACACGCTTTACTTTCTTTTTCCTATGGCAGATGCGAAAGCACTTTCTTCAGCCTTGTCAACTAACAGGATCTCCTTTCTAGTGAGAATCTCTCATCAATTTGTCTTATGTTTTGATGCCACACCAGTTTCTAAACTGTAGTGTTTGCTCATTCGTTTTTAATTCCCTTCTCTACTTTTATTGTTCGAAAGTCATAGAAGTCTAATCTCATGCCTTGACTCCAGAGTCTAGTAGAATTCCTCAGGCTTATTACACATTATTAATTTACTGAATTGAAGAGAGCAAACTTGCTTTCTTGCATGATGTGAATCTGCTTCTTAAACTCAGCGTGACTCTTAAGGGATGCACGCAACCTTGCTGATCCAGAGTGGATGTTTCAGACTCTGGTGGAACTTGTTCTTCCCTGCAGACAAGATCAGCTGAACTTGGACATTCGGCTGCTTCTATGGCAACAGGTCTGAGTGCTGGTGAGGTGACTGCATTTATTTTGCTAATTGTGGTTCTTCATAAGTACTAGGATCCTACCTGTAAAATGAACCTCTGTCACTTTCCAGATAAAATGTTGTTGATGGTGCTACGGGCAGAGGGGTGAGAAGCAGTGGTCGTCAGTTCTCTTAGAAGTCTCTTAATGGAAGCAGATGGTGTAGCAGTGCCTATAGCCGTGTCTATAGCAGTCTTCAAATAAGAAGTCATTTTGTCCTAGCACAAGAAGCCAGCTCTTGGAACAAACATAACCACGTCATTAGCCTTCCAAGGGAGTGGGAAAGATGGAAGATATTTGATTGTTGCTATTGGGAAGAACAAGGTCAGCTCTCTTTGGAGTCTGTTTCCTGAGCCTGGACAATCCCAAGAGGTTGTCTGTTCTCTGGATCTTGTTCACTGTTGGTCATTCAGCCCAGGTTTGCTGACCATGTGGTGTACCATGGGACTATACTGGCCAGTCTTGGTTTTGGAAAAAGAGTAGTGAAACTGGGGCTTGCAGCTCGCTATTTCTGATGTGAAATGGGGAGTGGTTCTGAAAGAGCATCATGGCTGAATGCGTACCTTCTATGCTTCCTTTGGGATGCACTTGTATACTTAACACACGTGTGTCTTTATGCCAAAGATATTTTCTAAGTGAAACAAATAAACTCTTTGCTGTGTTACGTTCAGGTAATTCGTTCCTTGGTGTTGTTTTTAACTTCTCAACTGCACTTCCTAGATTGTTGGGATTTTTTAATTTGTTTCTGAAGAACCTGTACTTTCTAGATTAGAGTAGGTTTTCATGTAACACATGAACATCTTTGGCCAGTGCTATGTTTCTTAACAGATGTGGGGAATTCAGCTGCCCACACAAGTACACTGTCCTCTGGTACTGACTGCTTTGAGAGAGGCTCTACATCACTGGAGCAGGCTGGAGCAGATGTCCACTTCAATTTCTCTTTGGTGTTATTTTTCATTACCACTCTCTTTGCAGCTGAACTATGTCTTGCTGCAGCTGTACATGCATATGATGAAGTGCTACTTCTGTTTTCCTTTCCATCTTTCCTGTATAATTTGTACCCATCAGTAATGACATTTCACTTATGAAACAGAATCCCTCTGCTACATTTCAGGTTTACCTGGTACAGTACAATCCTTGACATTTAAGTAACTCCACAGCTTGTTTCCCACGCTCCCTTTGTTTGGGTATACAAAAGCCTTTTTTAAAACTCCTGACCATGTTTCAGAATAAATCCAGTCTCTTATTTTACTTCTGGGCATCATGGTACATGAAAATGTGTTTATAGAAAACATAATCTTTTTCTTTCTTCCTGTGTTTAAGGTCCATGTAGCAATTGCATCCTTACTGTTTAAGAAGAGTCTGTCTAATCCAAGCTCATTTCACAGGTTATGTCAGGGCTCCAGTATTAACAATACCATCACTTTGCGTCTTTTCCATTACCTTATGGAGGTTTCCCAAGAAACGAAGATAAATGTACTTCATCTTTAATATTACTATTTATTATTTACTTCTTTCTTGTTTCCTGACTCTTTTGCTCATGCTCTTTCAAAATCAGGGTACAGTTCAGGAATTAGCGCCCTCTTTGTGTCACCTAGACCTTGTGTCCCCTGTCCTTGGGGGAAATTTGGGAAATTTGCAGATTTGGGAATCCTCGTAAACAAGAAAAGCTTATGAAAAGCACAAGCAACAGTAGAAACCCTCTCAGAAGAGAAACCTACAGATGTAGCATGTAGCAGAAGTGACAGATGTTTACCTAACTCTTGTCACAACACTTATTGATTTCTGCTGCAAGCCTGGACGTGTATACCTGGGGAGCGAGGATGTAGAAAACCACACCTTAATATGTAATGTTTCAGCTTCTCCAGTCTCACTCACAACGTGGACAAACTTGCCATGCTTTTCAACACAACGTGAGGAAGAGTAAGGAAGAGAAAGGAAGAATAGCTGAGATGCATCTGCATAGGAACTTAGGGCAGAATTGCTGGTGTGTCCTAAATTCCTAATGTGATCTGCCAATGTCAAAAGTTTTTGAGATGTTCCTAACTCTGTTTCTCTCTCCATTTTCAGTCTGCCTAGCTGCAGTACCAGCTCCTGCCTTTTCATCTGCCTTGTCAGGTTTTGTTTTCTTTTTCTAAAATATTAGATATGTCACCTTCTAGGAGAACTGTGAGCATGAAACAGCTCTTCTCTTGCTTTTTACCTGAGACAGGCAACTTCCAGGTGATGGGGTGCGCTGAAAGACAAGACTTAATGACAGAGGATGTGTGAAATCGTTGCTTGTATTTTCCTGGTTATGTGTGGAATTTGTGCAGGAAAGCTGATGGAGCATAGCACCAAACGAAAACATGAATAACGAGGAACGTAGCCCTTACAGAGGGCCTAAAACATAGAATATAAAAATGAGAGCTTATTTTAATGCAAATACATATGGTGTCATAGGCAAGCAACCGGGAAGTCAGGTCAAGGATATTTTCTAAGTACTGTCTGTATTCAAGGGTCTTTTGCCTTTTTAATTTCTTTGAAGAAAAAAAAAAAAAAAAAAAAAAAAGCTTCTGCTGAATAGTGAATTTTATTTCAATTGTGCAAGTGAAAAAAGTACGTTGTGCCAGTGGGTTGTGGCCAGATCAGCATTTTGTATGAGTTTGGGGGTGGATTTGGCACATGCCCACTGTGGGCTGAATAAACACCACGTTTCTTCAGCTTTTTGATTTACCAATCTGGAGTGGCTGTTACAGAAAGAACATTGCTTTCTGCAATCTGACCAATACACAGGATTGAGCACTAATATCAAGGCTCTCTGGCCTCTGCCTATGGCAGGCGTAGTGTCTTTTTATTGTATCCAAAACAGTACTCCCAAACCAGGGCCTGAGATGTAGATTAAATAAATATGGCAAGATGGGGTGACAGAGGAATGGGAATGCTTCAGCAAGATGTGCATCTATTGCTCTGACATAGCTGGTGGAACACATCAGTTTGAGCTTCCCCTGCATTAGCTACACAGTGATGTAAGATGGAGTATGGGGAAAAAAATGAACACATGAAAACAGATTGCTTACTCTAGAGCTGGATCCCATACCACGAAAACAAAAGCTACGTGTTGCATGCCGACAGAGTGTGTGGGATAGGAATGTCAGCTGTATTCTACCATGCAGACTGACAGCAGCCCAGGTCTGGCTTTTTGCACAGTTGGGACTGTGAAGAAAATGAATTGTATACTTGAATACTTACACAGGCAGATCCTTGTGTCCGAGGTTCCTTGGATGTAAGAAAACATATATATAAGTGCTGCTGCTTGCTTATGAGGAACAGAATCGTACTTGCCTCATCTTGCATTGTTTGTGACCATGGTGCTTAAGAGATGCAGGGGCTACTTTACTGGTGTGCTCTGGTTTCTCTGAAACTTCAGTGGTAGAGGAAGTAATAAGGCACTTTGAGGTAGCTGGGCTCCAGCTTCTCTGAAGAGGACACTTCCACAAACGAAAATGATTAAAAGGAATAGCTATCTCTCTGAGAAATTACAATGTATTTGGTGAAACTGAGTAAAATCCCAGGGCACAGATGCTAGACAACCTTGGGAAAAGGGCATTTACTTCAAGTGTTTGAAAAGAAAAGCTATTTAAACTTTGAAAGAGCTATTGGTTTTATTGTTGCAATATTTATGATCTTCTCTTTATAGGTCATGCAACCATTTCCTTAGTTATCCTTAATCTCCTACCAGAAATTCTTTCCCTTGGCTGGCAGCCCCCTTGAGCGGAGCACTTGCACTACAGAAATGGAAAATAGCAAATATAAACCAAGTGGGATCATTTATAGCTGTCTTGCTAAGTGTGTAACACATCTGCAGAAGGATAAGTTCTTCTGATTTAGCGTGGCCATTAGTGACATTTTACTGCTTCTGAAAGGAAGAAAATGGCTCTGTTTAGTGTCCTGAGGTATAACTGTGGTAATCATGGATGTTAGAAATGGAAAAGGCTGCTAGGTCGTCTGGGTCATCGCCCTAGTGCAATGCAAAAATTCACCAGCGTATCTTTCTAGGATTTTGTTATTCTACCATTTGTTTGAAATTCTCCTTCACAGCCTAATAAATCTCATAGAAAGGTAGTTAAAATAACTTCTCGGAGATGTCTGAGAGATAGAAATCCTTGCAGGCATTGCGCTGAAATAAAGACCTGTTTCCTGGTTTATCCAAGCATCTGCCATTGCTCTTTCACAGTGAAGACACTTCCTTTGTTTGGTATTTATGACTACAGCATTTCAATAAATCAAAACTTTTCTGGAAGGAAAAGTTAAAGCAGTCTCCACTGGTTTCTCACCAATTTCCAAACCGCTTTTAAACATGTTAATTAACTTACAGAACCAAAGTTATACTTCAGCAAATCTGGATTAATTTCGCTGCACCCACTGGGGTTATGCTGGATGAATGCTGGAGATCCTGACAGCGCAGTATGACCAACAGCTTCCCTTTTGCATCCAAGGAGACAAACTCACAAGAACAAAGACAGAGACAGACAAGCACAGGCGCCAGACACAGATGCTGTACCCTGCAGCCAAAAGGAGGATGTTGTTTCAGGCAGGCTCCATCTTGTTTCAAAGTCTCCCATGTAAGCAGCGCTTGGTATAAGTAATTGGGAATTCACTTGTGCACAGCAGTGTTGCTAACGTGAGGAAACCCTTGAAAACGCTGTAGGGTCTTTGCATTGAATTCTGCTTCAAAAGAAATGGCTGCAATAGAAGGATTTTGGAGTTGGACTCTCTTGATAAACACAAACATCTTTTTGAACACAGCCCTGGTCTGGAGCACCTTGTTAAGAGTAGCTTTAATATGTATTTTCATTGTTCTCTGTGCTATGGTTAGCCTGTGGAAGCAAGACCGTAAGGAAGAATTGCTGCCAGGGCTGGTTTAAGCTCTGCAAGGTTCTCAAGTGACAGGAAGTAAGCCAGCAGCAGCAATCAAGTGCGGTCCAAGCAGCAGAAACAAACAGTAGAACTGAGCTGCTCAGGGCTCTTGAGAGGAAACATGCTTTCTTTAGCACAGTCAGTGAATCCAGAACAGCAACCACAGAACATCTTGCTCTCTTCAGGGGAAGGAAAGAAAGAAAGAAAGAAAAACCCAACAAACTTCTGGCTTTCTTCTAGTTGTCCTGAGGTTTAGTGCAGGATTAAAAGGAAAGTCCTGGGGTTTTTGCTTGCTTTTTCACATGTGTGGGGAGAACATGCTATTTGGCAAATGGTTGTCAGTGCATGATGAAATGCACTAGAATCCTCCTCATCATTCCTTCCCTGTGCAAAAAGAAAATAGCCCAGTGGGCCAAATGCATGTTAGCCCCTGAGCAATTGAGTCTTCCTCCATTTCTGCTTGTGTGTGATTAATTGGTGGCTTTGAAGAGATCGTCTGCTACCAAGAGGTGCTGTGATTGCTCTCAGGAGTCAGCCTGTGGGCTTTACCCATGCAGCCCCGCCCCAAGATCCCAGCAGCAGCTCAGCCACAGGGAATCTGCTGGCAGGCTTCCATCAAGGGGGTGACACAAAGCTGTGCTTGTGAACCTAGATTTAACTTTGCTGCCAACCATTGCAGAAGACAAGCTGGGACAGTGAGTGAGTCACAGGGTTTGTAAGCAGTCAGATTTGAGTATTAAAGAACAAACAGCCTGGCCCACCCAGCTTCACTGTTCTCTGTTCCAGAAGCCGCTGGAGGCCAAGTCATGGAAACGGCTGCTGCTGGTCCATTTCCCTGTGCAGCTCTTCCTGCTGTCACCACTGTCATCAACCCCCCATTCTCTGTCCAGCTCTTTCTTTGGGATCCTTGCTAGGGCCTCCCTGCAGCTGACGCAGAGTAAGGAGGAGGTTGTGGCCAGGAAAGGTCATGTGCACTCATGTGCCCATATATCTGTGCAGGAGAGATGAAATACACCTTCTGTGTGCAACCCTGGATCCAAGAAACCTTCCATGCAGCTTCCCACTTTTTAGCACTCCTTTTTTAATCTTTTTTTACTAGTCCTAAGGTTGTGCAGTCTTGCAGTTGTTTTGCTCCTCTAGCTTTCTTTCTTATGGTGCTCCCTTCCTGCATTATTCTCACTTTCTGTCCTCAGGTTCTACTGTAATTGACTCAGGTTCCTCTGCAGGTGGCAATAAGCAGTCTTGTTATGTACTGTTTTAAAAATAAAAATGCAGACATTGTGCTTCCCCATCAAACACCACTTTAGAGAAGTTGTGGGCGAAAAGAAGCCTGTGAAAGGAGCAATAGTGAAACCACCATCCAACATGAGGGAGAGTTTAAGCAGTCCAACGGTAGCTCTAACTCCCTGATTATGGCAATTTTTGTGGGTTCTCTCTCCTTCTCTCTCCTCAGTCTGCCTGAAGGAGGCACGATTTTCCACACCACCAAAGGAAACAGATGTTTCCACCTCCAGATCTTCTGCCCTTCAGTTTAAACTCTTTTGCCCCATTCTGCAGTTACACTTCACCCTGTTTGCCATACTCCACTCATGTCTTCTCACACATTCTTCTTGCAGAGTGTCACTGCTGCTTGCAGTCTGTGCCCAGCTCACCAGACCAAAGAAGCACTGCTACTCCACCTGAGTACTGCTTTCAGTCCTTCTGACGGGTGCGGACAGCAGTGCACCTTTTCAACACACAGCAGTGTTGCTTCTGCAGACAAAGGCAAAATGGCAGCCATTCTGCTTGCGTTGATCTCCTTCATAATAAAGGATAATGGGAAACCTTTTGAATATGAGGGAAAAAGCCCAAGTTAAAATAAAAATTAAACAACGTATCCAATTAATTAGAATCACTGCAAAGCCTTGGAAAGCTGCCATCTTAAATTACTACACAGCTACAACTCCCAGGAGGAAAAAAAAAAGTAGTAATTGGGAGGAAAAAATTACATACTCCTGTTATCTTAGTAGGAGTTTGAAATAGACAAGACAGGTGGGAGCTTTTCCAGCAACAGCATTAGTCCTGCATGTATGGTATTACCTGTTATGCACAGCTTACTGATTCCCTGCTTGCAAGGGCACATATATATTCACAGTTCCTGAGGATGGAGGGGATGGGAGGTTTGTGTCCCAGCCCTCTTTTTTTTTTCCCAAGCCTGATTATTCTATTGCAATGGGGCTGGGTGACAAAAAAGTACACAAATAAGTGCTGCATGTAAAAGTGTGGCTGCCCTGGAAGCAGTGGAAACTCCAGTGTACACTTAAACTTTGGAAAGTGGAAGGAGAGAGCGCCTTAAGCTGTTACCCTATGTCTCAATGTAAAATTCTAACGCTGTCCTGATGATGAAGGTGGAGCTGTGACAATAAAATGCTGTAATTGCTTTCACATACTTATGTTTAGGTTCAGCTAAAGGTGACTCAAACTGTTGTGTATAAGTTCCTGCTGCTGTTGAGTATCATCTCTGACCAAGTTGGTGAAACGGGGAGGTGAAAAGGTAAATAAAATCTTGCCTGAAGAGCTGCACGACCTCTGGCCTCAACACAGCTGCCAATAACTTTTATGTGCACACTGCTTCATTTTCAGAACTGGAAGCACGAAGCAGACATCTTCCTCTGCCAGCATAGCAGGAAAAAAAAAAAAAAAAAGAAAAAAAAAAAAAGTGGGTAGAAAAAAGGCTGGGTAAAGAAATACAATATTATTCAAAACATTTTCCTAATTGCCTTTTTTTCTATTAAAAAACTCCACATGTTAATATTGTTTTGCTGGAAATTGCGATATTTAAATAGCTTCAAATAGCGCTAACGAAGCATTGTTTTAGTTTTGCCTCCAGGAAAAAAAGACAAAACAAAATACTGTAATAAACTGTTCTCTGTTTAAGAACAGCTGCCATCAAATTGGTAATATTTTCCCTTTAGCTGTGGGCTGACAAACTTCTCTTTTTTCCCTTTTCCTTTCAACAGAATTATGTGAGCACGGCAGCACAAGTTGAAAATTCTGCTAAGCATTTCGCTTCGGACATTCATAAACTGTTCTTCAAACTGTCGCAACTGCGTGTCTTTCATGGCTACGGCACACGAGAATAAGTCATGTCAAAATAAGCTTATTGTGTTGAGTACAGTGACGGATGTAGACATGTCTGAGGCTTAAAGCTCAGATCCTTGAATATTAGGGGTTTTAACGATTTTTTTTTGGGTGGGGAGGGTTTGCAAAGCAGGAATGTTAGCATTAATCACCTGGCCAGCTTACAAGTTCAAAAATTACATTTGATGTATCTCCCTCATTTTCTCCTGCTTTCATTTAATTCTAGTATTCATTATATTCATTACCTCTGTTTTTTCTTTAAGTTGCTCATCTGTGCTTGTTCTCTGCTGTTATAGAAGACCTAGGAAAGAAAAAAATTGAAGTCTTCTCTATTTTAAATACAAATCTTTTCTTCCTATCCCCATTTTTATAGCTCCCAGGCACATGAAGTCTTACTTCCTCTGTCTCTTGCTTTCTCCCTGGAAATCTATGAAAAGGATGCATAAGAATAGTTGGGAAATCTCACCAGTCAGCTCATGGAACAGGAAACGCTGAATCCTTAGAAAACTTGTTTTCTGAAAGTAGTAATTAGGATAAATACTTTTAAATAAGGATAGTGGGTATTTTTTAAAGTACCCCAGTGTTTCCAAATATTAATGTTTTTTTTCCTTTGATACTTTGATGCCATGTGCCTGCTGAATCTTCACCGGAGCTTTCCAGGAAAAGGATACAACAAAACGCAGCTTCCAATAGAAAGAAGTAAGCAAGAGAATAACCTAATCAGCCTGTCTTCATATGTAACAAGAAACATAAATTCTTTTATTACTTTTCCACAGATCATCATTTTAACAACAGCCATCTTTTTTTCCCAGTGCTGGCTGCTATTCAGTTGTTGATAAAGCACAGCATTAGATCATGTTTGCAATGCCACATTTCATACCAAAACACCTAAAAATAATGCTCAGTAAAGATCACCGACATATGCTTTGCTGCGGCTTCCCAGAAGGCAACCTGTCTCTACTTGCAGCACAAGTAACCACTCAGGTACTTTCTATGCCCACTACACAGCTGCAGGTTAAATGATCTGAAGCAGGTAAAGGACAGGCTTAGCAATAACTTTTTCAATGCCAACAGCTTCTGGTGATTGTAACCAGAGTTCGTTCAGATACACTAATTTTAAAAAGCTAGCAAATTTCTAAAAGGGAAGTTATAGCACTGTTGGAAATAACAAACCACTGTCAGGTCTAAGAAAACCTAACTTCCAACTCCAGATTTCAAGGCTGCTTGTAGTGTTTTATCCCCACTCTGTTAGATGCAGCATCATTTGTCCCAGGTATAATGAGTAAATTTGATTTTTAAAGAGATGAGGCAATGTATTTTCACAGTGTAAGAAGCAAAGGTGGAATTGACCTCAGTACTGAAGCACGTGTCTCCCTCAGGGCTCAGTCACCATGAGGTTTTATTCTTTATGAGCCTTGTGAGTAGGGTCCCAAAGGCAGCAGCATGTCCACACTCTATCAAACCTGTTCCCCTGCGCTTCCCTAGCGTCACATACCAACCACAGGAGAAAGCTCTTCTTGAATCCCTCATCCCAAAGCAGCCAAAGTTCTCCCAGCACCTGGCAATGCACCACAGCAGTAGCGTAACACTGACATCCAGTGGATGAAAAAAATGCAGTCTCACTCGCTGCTGGACAGAAATGCAAATGGGAGAAGCGTGAAGAGATAGCAAGGACTATTTTCTTTTTACACATTAGGACTTTTTAGAGCCAGGAACTAGCCCAGGAGCTGAGATTCCCTCAATCCATACGTGAACCGGCGTGAGACCTGGCGGACCATCCATGCAACAAAATCTGCTTGCTTTCTATCGTGTGAAACGACAGGGGCAATTGCAGCGTGGCACCTCTTACTCTACTCACATGAATGTTTCTGGTTTCCCAGGCTTATACAAAATGTACCACGTATGTTGTTTCCTTTTGCACACTCCAAAAAAAAAAAAACCAAAAAAACCCCAAAAAAAACCAAAAAACAACCAAAAAACAAACAAACAAAAAACACAAACAAAAAACCCACCACAAAAACTGGCTTTTCCCTCAGTATCCTCATGACCAGGTCGGTGTCATTGCATCTCTCGTTTGCTTTTTTGGCACCAAAACTCCATTTTCAGCTGCTGCAGTGTTGTAACAGGATTCTCCCAAGGAGACCCAGTGGAAATATGGCACTGGCACACAGGCCTGGGTGAGGTCGGGAGGTGACAGCCACTGTGCTAACAGCAGTCCTCAGCAATACTGAAGAACCAAAAGAGCATGGAAATGGGGTGCACACCTCCATTTTCTCTCCCTCTCAAATGCCTCTGTGATCACAGAAGTCCGAGCTGGAAGGGATCCACGTCATCCAACACCGACTCCCACGTCTGAGTGTTGATGACCCCACAGGTCCCCTCAGAGCGCTCCTTCCTCTGCTTCTGCTCGTCTCCTCAGCTCTTCTCGACCCCCCCCAGCCCCCGTTTCCCTCCAGCACACCGTGTGGAGCGGCAGTGCCGCCAAACCACCACGCTTTCAGGGAGCGCCTCACACAACCCCTCCCCCCACACTAACGGCCGCCAGCCCCGTCACGTGCGCAACTGCGGGAGCCACGTGACGCCCCCGCCGCATCACGCAGCCCGTCACAGCCTTCCCCCCAGCCGCCGCGAGACAGCGCGGGGACTGATAGCTAACTCAACCAACCATAGGGAGGGAAACGCCCCCTCGCGCCCACGCCTGCGCGTAATCCGGTGAGTGACACCGGGAGCGGCTGCCAATTGGCTGCGGAGGAGTCGCCGCGCACCAATGGACTGGCGAGTAGTGCGACTGACATCCGCCCCGCCGAATCGCTGTGTGGGAAGGGCGGGGCAAGAAGCAAATGTCGTTGCAGACGGCAGGAATGTGGCGTTGTTGCCGCCTGGCATTACGAGGCGGCGCTGGCCGCGGTCCTCCTTATTGCTGCGTGTGCCCGTCTCCTCCATTGGGCAGAGGAAGGACGCACGCTGGTGCAGCCTCCCCTCCGACCTCGTTTCCAGCGCCGCCGCCGAGGGCCGCGGCTCGATGGGCGGGCCTGTTCGTGTTTCGGTGTGACGAGCACATCCCTTCGCCAATGGCGTGCGAGGGTGCAACCCACCGGCCAATCCGTAGCGTGGAGGGGGCGGGGCAAACAGGGGCGGGCGTCTCATTTACTGGGCCAACCTCCCAGCCAACGGGAGGAGTGGGAGGAGGGTCGGGCAGCCAGCGAGGGAGGCGACGTCAATACGTGACAGTCAGCCGGGGCAGCCAATCATTGGGGGGGCACTGGCGAGACTGTCCAATTAGAGCAGCTGGAAGGCGGATGTTTCTCTTTGATGGACGTGGGCCGTGGCTAATGGGCGGGGAGATCCATGTAGCTCTCCCCAATAGACAACATTCAGGGGCGGAGAGAGATGAGACGAGCAGACGAGTCAGCCAATCAGCGTGGGGGTCGTCGGGGCGCAATCCAATGGGCGGTGCGAGGGGCGGCGCGGGGGCGTGTCTTAGTGTGTTTGGGTTCGTGCTCCTCGGGGGAGGGAGACGGCGGCGAGGAAAGTTTTTTTTTTTTTTTTTTTTTTTAAACTGTTTTTTGTCTTTTTTTTTTTTTTTTTTTCTTTTTTTTTTAATTTCTGTCGGCCGTGAAAGGAGGCCGCGCTCCGCAGCCTTTTGGCGTTCGTTGTTCCCCGGGCGGAGCCGCCCCCCCGGCACTGAGGAGAAGGGGGCTCAGCGTGGCGGCGCCTCAGCGGTGAGTGTGCGTTGTCCCCTCTCCCCCCCTCCCTCCGCCTTTCCCCTCACGGCTTCCCTCAGGGCCATTCCCGCCCGCGGGCCGCGCGCGCCGCCCGTGAGGGGCCATGGGCGCTAACAGCGCGCGCGCCCCCCACCCCCTCACCCTCCCGTAAGCCGCGGACAGGCTGAGGGGGGCTCACACAACGCGGCGGCGGCGGGAGGAGAAGCTGCGTCGCTCCGGTTCCACAGACGGGGCCCGGGGTGGAGGAGGAGGAGGAGGAGGAGGAGGAGGAGGAGGAGGGGGGGGGGGGGGGGGGGGGAGGGGGCGACAACGCGCGCATCGGGCTGAGGCCCCGCCGTGCGCGGCTCGCGGCTCCCGGCTCCCGGGGAGAGGGCCGAAACGGGAGAGAGCCGCGTTGTGGGGACGGCGCTGAGGTGACGGCGGTCCTCCGGGCGGCCCGCGGTGGTTGTGTGGAACGTCGATGCGAGGATGTGGGTGGGAGGAGGGACGGTGCCGAGAGGTGTGTCCCAGCGGCGCGGGGAGGGGGGTAGAAAACTTTCCCGGTGTGTTGATAGCGATAGAAGCCCATGGTTGGGTGTGGAGAGGCGGCGGTGGGCAGCGCGGTGTCCCGAGGGTTGTGAGCGGCTGCCGCGAGGCACGGCTGAGGCGTTGGTGGGCTCAGTGCTGCGCTGTCCCGGCCGTAGCAGATGGGCTTAACGCTGTATGCGCCGCTTTATCCTCCCCGCGGTTCGTTTGCCGTCTTTTGCTATCCCGATCGGTCACTTTGATATCTCTCTGTCAAGTCTGCAGAGCGCCTTCAGAGTTAACTTTTCCTGCCTTTTTTTTTTTTTTTGCACTCCATAATCATATTTAGCCACAGCTTGTCAGATTCCAGTCTTGCTTTCATCTACAAAACCTTTCTGAGTAGCAGTAGGTAAACCCTTGCATTTTGTGTAGCTCTGTATGAAAGTTTTGTGTACTGCTTTCCAGTAACATTGCTATTCAGATGAACTGAACTTCAGTTTTTGGTATGATTGTATAAAGAACAGCTTTGCTTCTTCAAGCAGCTTTCTATTAAGCTCATCTGTACTGAAGTTGCTTAGCAATCCCACCTTTCCTATGGTTGCTGTGACAGTGCAGGTGCCTGGGAACACGTGTGCTGCTGAGGAGCTCAGCAAATGCTCTGATCTGCGGCACCCGAGGTCCTGAACTCAAAGATAAGGTCAGGGCTTTTCTGCGTGATCCACTGTCAGTGCTGGGGTTTCCGTGCTGGTGGACGTTGGGAGTGCTTGGTGAAGGTGGCTCCTCGCCCATGCGTTGCTAACTCTGCTACCAGGCAGGTAAAGCTTGGCAGTTCTGTGGTGAAGATATAAATGGCCTGGCAAAAAAAAAAGTTGAGGGGAGTTGTGGAACCCTGTGTGGCAGCAAGCGTGCATTAGCTTTTCTGCTGTGAAGCTGTGGTGGCAGTGAGGTGCAGGCAGATATTATGTTGTAGAACTTGGTGAGATGATCATTATATCTTTTACTTTCATCTTGGCTAGCTATATTGTATGTAAACATTTTGTGAATATACAATTTCATGTAAAACTATGCACGTCTACATGCAATTAACTCAGAATTGGCAGTGCTAATTGGTAAAATTCTAATGTGCGTAATTCTCTCGTCAACTTAGTCTTCGTTTGTTTCCTTGTGATGTTATCGGGCTGCTTAGTAAAAAAGATTCTCTTAATTCCAGTAATGTGAAAGTACTGGGAAAAACAGTGACCCTGGTTTATAAAACAGTGTAGGAATTGGAATGTTTCTGCAGTGTTTGCATAGCTGCACATTCAGCTGGAAATCTGAGCAGGAAATCTTAAAAAATAAGGTTTGGTCCGCCTTGATGTTGGGGAAGAAAAATCTCGAAACTGTGAATCAGAAAAAGTATCGCCTGCTGGCAACTGTGTGACTGAATATTGCAATCAAACTCTGCAGTTAGAAAATTGTCTGGTGGCTTTGTGTGGTGATGAGTGTTTGATCCTTACAACTTGTGGAATAACCACTTCCCAGGGTTGGGGAATGGCTTGAAGAGGAGGGAGCTTCGGAGACAACAAACTAGTGTAGTTCTGAAACAGTAAGTTTAGCCTGAGGTTTGCCTCCAATGGTAAGTAGCAGTGAAACAGAAATCAATTGTTCTGCAAAACTAATGCCTGATATGTAGACATAGCTGCAACTGGAACAGTGGGGTGTGTAGTTGCATCCAGAATGGTGGAATGAGTTTGAGGAGTGCTGCAGAGCTCATCATTTGAGAAGAAGTTCAAATGGATTTTGTTCTCTTGGTTCTTGACTTTGTTTTATGGTAAAAATGGTGTGCTTCTGCTCATGGAAGGCTGCATTTACAATTATTAAGAATTACAAACTGGAGATCATAGAAAAAACATCTAGGAACTTAGTTATTGATTAGAATGGGTTTGTTAATAGTTTCCCAAATGGTTTGGTTACTTTATTCTCTGTCTTCCACAGAGAATAAACTTCCTCTGTCTTGGATGCAAAATCTTCTGTCCTTGCTGCTTATTGCCATTATCTTATTTTATTTTCCTTCTTTTCTTTTTTTTTTCCCCTCTCAGAATGTCTTTTTATACATGGATAGTCTGGCTTGTGCAGTAATGATGATCAGCAGTCATTGTGCAGCTTCTTTGCGATGATCTTCTTCAGTAATTGCTCTGATGCTGTCGTTACCTTCACTAGTTTTGTCTGCACCAACAACTTATAAATTATACAATGCTTACGATGCCCCTTACACCTTACTTCAGTTATTAGTATGAGATTTTATTTTTCATACAGCCTTCTTCTGAGTTTTATGTCTGGATCAGTAAGTCTGTCATTGTGAAGAATTGGCATTTGTTTGTTTTCATATGATAAATTAAGTGTATTTAATGCATAGGTAAGGGAGGACGTATCTGAAACTCTCAAATAGGTACCGGTGGGTCTTGTTCAGCATAAGTTTTGCCACCTCAGCCCTTACAGTGTGTGTGTCTGAGCTGCCTTTGGAAATACTTTGAATGGTCTTTCTGATGTATTTTGGAAAAAAATAATTGTAAAATGTTACATTGTCTTGGGGAAAGGATAGGAAGTTATCTGCCTTGTGTTCTAATAGCAAGAACTTAGTGATGGGTATGTAGAGCAATTAATACTGTGTCTTTCTAGTTGTTTAACCGGATGTGGTATAGCAGGATTCCTGGATTCTTGCTGATAATGTTCCATACCTTAATAATAACTTTTTCCTTTTTCAGATAAAAGTACACACTAAAATTTGTTGTTCTTCCAACACACAGCATGTGATGTAGACTCTGAAGAATTGCTCTCGATTTCTTGTTAATCCAAACTAAACTTTCTGCTACCGTCTGCTAATAGAAGCAGGGACGTGTTCTGGTACCGGAGCCAGCTGTCACTGTCAGACAAGGAGCTGCCAGTTGGCATTTCTGCTTGTGAATTGATGAGGGTAATAGCTGGTAGGGTATTCTGGTTCCTCTTCCCTGTCACTTTCAGCAGACAGTAAAACTCTTATGCTTCTTCACATTTCTCTGCTTTACTTTCCATATTTTCTTTGCTATGTGCAAAAATAATGAAAACTTTTTTTTTTCCCCAGGGAAGTAAGCACATTTTGCTTCAAAGAATGGATGTTTTGTTGTTTTCTTTTTTTCTTCCATGGAACAGGAGGCAATAAGTCTATCGAGTACATTTTCCTTCTCGTAGTGGTAAGAAGAAGAGGGCGTTTTTTGCACTTAAAGATTGCATGTTGTAGGGGAAGTTCTGAGGTTTTTAAGTTCTCATCAGCGTAAGGTTTGTGGTTGGAGTTTGGATGTTCCCCGTGTTTACCATGCAGTGAGCTATGGAGATGACCTTTTCCAGTTTCAGCTACTCAGTACGGATTGCGTTTCTGGGCCTCGCCAGCTTTAGAAGTTCTGAAATCAGATATCTCACATGTATTTCCTGAGGTAATGTGTGCAGATTAGGAAAAGCACAATGGGCCCTCCGCGAAAAATCTGAAAATAAGTGTTTGACTGGGGGAAAAAAAGACATCTATTTATAAGGGTAAGTAAAATACGTCTAAAGGTAGCTCTTAGTTTAGCTCTTGGGTTTTTTGAGAAATCCGCTGTTTGACTGGAAAAATGGGAGCTACTGTAGGACAGTGTTCCTGCTGCGGGCCGTGGAGCACTGCTCAAAATAAATGTGTCAAGTATAAACTGAGAGGCAGCGTATTTTGACCCTGTCGGGCAGAAGATTGAAGGCTTAAAACCTAATTAGAGGATGAGAGGATAAGAAGTGAAGTCGCAAAACAAAGGGTTGATAATTTTAAATAGCCTGACAGAGGATTAGGCAAAAGGTGATACAATAGTAGGGTGTTCTGTGAGGAAGAGCCCTCTAAACCATCTCAGTGAGCAGCGAAGGAAATAGCTCAGTAATGGTTTTAGTTGATCTAATTTCTGTGATTTCATTTTAGCTGTTGAGAGTGCAGTGAAATGAACTATAGTGATAACAACCTGACTGAAGTTTTTTCACTAGTATCTTGAGCTTTTGGCAGCGAAGGCTTCTGCCGTAGGAGAAGTTTGTTCTTTTGTGCTGTTGGATTTAGTAGTGGTCCACAAAGAGCGTTAGTTGCGCCTACGCTGATAACTTCCCTGAATTTGGACATTTTCAGGTTCTAGCTTGTCTTTTAATAGTTACAAATGTTTTCTTTTCTTGTTCTTCCTTCCTGATCTTCTATCCTGAAACTGCATTTTTTCCTATCTTAGTCTTGCTTTTCTTATAACATTGATTGTGCTTTGCAGGTCCTTAGTGCGTTTGTCATGTGGCGAAAGCAGACAAGTTTCATAAGTGAAATTTTAAGTCTGATTTTAAATGAAGACGCGATACGTTTGCAAAGCCTTAGGCCAGCATTCTTCTTTTAAGTTTGATTTATTAGGTTGGCATGTCATCAGAACAGACAAATCCCTGGGCTGCTCTGAGGCTCCTTGCTGACCTCCAGGGCCCCGTGACCC